AGAAGAAGAAGAAGAAGAAGAAGAAGAAGAAGAAGAAGAAGAAGAAGAAGAAGAAGAAGAAGAAGAAGAAGAAGAAGAAGAAGAAGCGTCTGCCAAACAATTTTGGGAACTTATTGCGAAGATTCATTTGTCTGTACATGTTTTTAACTTAATCGAATCGAAAGTTAAAGTTAAGATTTTCATCCTTAAAAATGTATCTTTTCCTTCAGTGGTTTGATGCAAAGTGTCGAATGAATTTAACAGAAGTAGTTTATTCAAAATTGTACTATAAGTATATAGAGATAGAGTTCAATTTGTCAAATGTTACGACATTTTTGCACACCTTGACTGCTTCGTTACTTACGACGCTGTGGCTGCCACGATATTTATGGGCACCTTGCATGTACTCATATATTTGACGCTGTGTATGTACCGATGTATTTGAGCAGGGTGAATGTATCTATTAATTTGAGGACTGTTGTTGTACCGATATAATTGATTACTTTTGGTGTACCTATATATTTGCATATCTTGTCTGTTACGATCTATATGACGCTGACTGTATAATCATTTCTCTATCCAGAGGTAAATGAACTCAAGGGTTATAAGAAAGGTTAGGTAAATGTATAGGATATAATTAAAAGTTTGTGTAGTAGATTAGTGTTGAAGTAGTATTTATACATTTAAATTTATTTACGTCAATCATTATGAAGGGAGTTAACAATGGTCGACATCGAAATAAATTAATTACACCACCAAGGCAGTCAAAATGCATTCACTTTGTTGTTAAAATCCTTAATAAAAAAATAAAGCTAAATACATATTTAAACTAACAATTCCATCAAAATTTATTCGCGACAACATCTCGTTGTTAACTGGTCTCGCGATATTGTCCTTTTTTTCACATATCTTTCTCTTTAACAAAAAAGGCAAAAGTCTTAGTGGCCAGTACGCCCCCTCTCTGGCTGAACACAAACTCCTTGTCTACCAAAGAGGAGAATTACATAATTCTTCAATAAACAAATAACACTAATCTATTTGGAACACATTATTTATAATGGTTTTCAGAAACATAGTTTATTTTAATTTGAGTTTTTATTTACCTTTGTACTTGACGACAATTGTTAGGGGACATTTTCATCACGCAAACGTAACAGTAGTGGTTAAGCGCTGTAATCAGAACTTATTAATTTATAAAGCTTAAACGATATAATGGCACAACGAATGTCGATAAACATTAGGGTAGCGCTTTGTAGTTTCTTCTATGTGTTTTCACTGCCGATACACTTGTTTACAAACATATTTTCATCGCTCTTATTCCTATCAAGAAAAAAGAGAAAGCTATATATTTTTATATGGATGTTTCGACAGTGAAACATATATTTGCTGTCACGTCGTTCTTGTACTCGTAGCAATTAACCAATTTGCATAAATTTTTAACTACTTACTAGTATACATAGTACACTATTATCGAAAAATATTTTTATACTTATTGTAGATTCAGTAGTTATGAATGCTTATGAAAATACTTTCAGAAGAATTGTTATTTTTGTATTATTAATCTGTTAATTTAGTTATAAACGTATATCTAGTTTTTTTTTTCAAGCAATTATTACCCATTAGGTCCATGTAACTTTTAGTACGAAATTTACCAACAATGATAAATTAATTTGCCAAAGTCTATTGTTTCATTATCGTAATTTGAATTTGGCCATCACAAAAGCCACACAATCCGTAATTCTATACAATTTAGTACAGAGGCCCAATTAGAATATCCTTTGTTGACTAAGGCGCTCAAATCCCGCATTTGTATGAATAGTACACATATGTTAGCAGTAGACGTATTAACTTCTCATCACAGAACATTTGTAATTAATTTATTAGAATCACAAAGGGAAATAAATAAGGTTTCATCTCACTAAACAGCTATAAGTTTTTCTTAAGCATTTTATTTTACTTCCGAAGTCCAACGCACTTATTCGAAACAAACAAATATACAAAATATCATTGTAAGTAGAACCAAAGTTTACTGTATACTTAAAATAAAATTATATATAGCTTTTTGTAACTTCAGTTTGTATTAAAATATACTATTAAAAACAAACAACATTTCAGTTTAAAAAGGAAAAAATCGTATATCGTGTAACGAGGACCGGTTTATCGAATAAGGTCGATGATGCGAAAGAGATGTACCAGAAACGTGTCAACTGCGGGTCAATTATTTTTATCTACGGCTAAAGCTGGTCAAACGTCAACGAATATGTTTTTTTTTAATTAACAATTTGAATTTAGAATAGTAAAGTAAAATAATTTGACAAGATTCCACATCGTTTTGCCATC